ACATAGAGAAGCACATTAGAGGTCTTCGGCCAGTTCACAGAGCCTTACAAAGAGACAAGATGAAGAATACCACAGTTAGATAACACTCAGGTGAATTCTGAAGGTCAGGTCCTACCTTAAATAGCAAACAGGTGAATGGCCGTTTTCTGTGTGAGAACAGCATTTTTATATGCATCTTTTTCTGCATTGTGTTATGTATTTCATGCAGCTAGTAATATCAGATAGACAATATATCAATCAGACTTTAATGCGGAGTGCATTCATTACCATAATAGGCAAATAAATATATTGTATATTGTTGTAAATTAACAAATCAACGTTGAATGGCTTTTAGTTTTTAAGGTGTAATATAAATTACGATGGCAATTACACTTAGGCGTTCCATCTGCTTCATTACTCTTCCCTTTGTGTACTAATATTGAGGATGTGTTTGGACATGAGCTACAAGGCACAGCTATCATTGAAGGATGAAAGTGTTGTTATTGTGAAAAAATACACTATTTGATTACCATGTATAGGAAAGACAAAGTACTTGCCTGTGATTTATTTCGAATCAGGAGGTAGGTGTGCATTCTGCAGAAGAGCTAAGTGCTCATACCCATCTGTGCAAACAAATGGAGCTAAACAAAACACATAGTGAGTACAGTAGAAGAGTGTGTGGCGTCTTTATATGTAAAATAAAAGCTGAGCAATTCATTCTACGTGTCAGGAAAAAGAGAGACAAATTGAGAGATATACAAAAATGGAAAAGAGTAAGAAATCATTTTTTTCCTACTCTGTATTATCAGATTCTGGCAAGAAGAGCTCTGTGCTGAACTTAGTTTGTCTTCAAATTGAAAATAATATGTCAAAGGCAGGAAAAAGTGTGTTAGTTATGTACATTTGTAATCCTGGAGGGCATGTCAAGAGCATATGTGTCAAGTCCTGTTCCTCAGAGTATCCTTTTGTCCTTCAGGTGGATGTACAGCAGTGAGTTAAACGAATTTGCTTGCATTATACAAAGTTTTGGAACTTTTTTATTTGCTTTTTTTGTTTCAGGAAGCTCATTTTATCTTTAATGCACATATTGTGGTTGTATTATGTCAGTAGCACCATGGTTGACTATATGTTTTCAAATAGAACAATAAGCTAAATTGCAGTAAAGGTTATAAGGAATGTGTAAAAAACCTTTGTGGCCTTATTCAGGCCAAAGTGTAATATATATATGGCATGCACAATGTTTAATTTTCTGAGCAATTCCACCTCCTTTTAGAAGATCCCTGTAATGGCTTTTCATGTGACCTGTAGCACTAATGAAAAATGCCAAGTTAACCAACCGATAAATCTATGTGAGAAGACAGTGTGCCGTCACTCCCTAAACCATGTTTGATAGAAGTAGAAGTAATGATGTTTCTTTTTAGTTTAGGACATAGAAAAGACAGGGAGAAGGATTAAAAGGGGAGCAAAAGAGACAAACTGGAGCACAGGCCAGCAGGGGAATGGGGGCAGCCATACTCGGTTATGGTAGAAGCAGCGAATCCTGGAGGGAGTAAACCTTTAGTTTCTTCTTTTGTCTCTGACTTCATTTGTTACCCTTGGCAGCTCGAAAAGAGATGACATAACCACCTTAGTGTTCAATGAATCAATGTAGATATTTGCCTTTTAAGTTTGCATGCATGACCCAAAGCTTTCTGTTCTCTCCACAGGGAGTAAGAGGACGTGTATGTTGCCTCTTGCTGTAGTTTTTCCACCACTACCATGAGCTGGAGTTTTCTGACTCGCCTGCTGGAAGAAATCCACAACCATTCTACATTTGTGGGCAAGATCTGGCTCACCACTCTCATTGTTTTCCGCATTGTGCTAACAGCCGTAGGAGGAGAGTCAATCTACTACGATGAACAAAGCAAGTTCGTCTGCAACTCAGCACAGCCAGGCTGTGAGAACGTATGCTACGACGCCTTCGCTCCACTCTCACACGTCCGCTTCTGGGTCTTTCAAATTATCCTGGTGGCCACCCCTTCAGTTATGTACCTGGGCTACGCTGTCAACAAAATTGCTCGGGCAGAGGAGAAGGCAGAAAGTGGGGGAGTGAATGGATTTGCCCAGAAGAAACCCAAGAAGCACTATCTTGCAGGCAGAAAGCAGCACAGGGGCATTGAAGAGGCTGAGGATGACGACGAGGAAGACCCGATGATCTATGAAGTGGCAGAGGTGGAGAACGACGATTGTGAAGCAGAAAAGGGAGGCAGCTGTGATAGAAAAGAAAAAGCCAAAGTACGCCATGATGGGCGTCATCGTATCAAAGAGGATGGATTGATGCGCCTTTACGTCGTCCAACTCCTGTTGCGCTCCTTGCTGGAGGTTGCTTTCCTCTGTGGTCAGTATGCCCTCTATGGCTTTTCCGTTCCTGCCACCTACGTATGCAAAGACCAGCCCTGTCCTCATAAGGTGGACTGCTTTGTGTCGCGACCAACTGAGAAGACAATCTTTCTCCTCATCATGTACACAGTCTCCCTGCTCTGTCTAGCACTCAATATATGGGAGATGCTTCACCTGGGCATTGGCACCATGTATGAGATAATACACTCCCGCAAGACGGAGCTCCCCAATGAGGAGCTCTACGGGCTGGCAAGAGGACAAGGCCGTCTTAACGAGGTGAGATTGAGTGAGGAAGACTACAGCTCTTACCCATTTTCTTGGAATGCACCAGCGCCTCCACCTGGGTACAACATCGCCGTCAAACCTTCTCTAGGGAACCACAACCAACCACTACCCATCACTGATCTCACTAATGCCAAGCTGGCATGTCAGCAGAATCACGTGAACATTCCCCAAGAGGAGCGTCAACAGAACGGCATTAATGATGAAAACCAGTGCAGAGTTGGGAAGGGAGATGCACCCAGGGCTGTTCATAAGGACAGCGGTAGACCTCAGAAAATCCTGGAGGGTGATAATCAGACCTACATCCAGCTGCAGAGCCACACTAACAACCGCAGCAAGCCCCACCGTGAACGTAAACACCGGCAGACCAACAGACACGCCTCCAGCAGGGCAGATACAGACAGAGGCAGCAGCAGCACCAGCAGTAGCAGCAAATATGGAGTCATAAAGGGTTCAGAGTGGATTTGAAACACGACTATGTAAAACAGCTTAGCTATTTAGCTCAGTTCAGTGAAAAAGCTTTGTATAGCAGGAAAATAATATCTTGAATACCTTTTGCGCTAAGATTTTGGTACCCTGTTTTTGTTTACCTTCTTTAAGCAGAGACTTTAATGCTGCAATTGAAAGTGCCTTACTTAAACCATCTAAAAGCAGCTTCATTCAAACTGAGCAACCCTTTATGTTACAGAGTTAATGTTTTTTTCATTGCCATCCACAGTTAAAGATTTGAATAATTTTGCTCATGAATATTCAAAATTGTTCTTCAGTTTCTTTTTGGTGTAGATCGTTTTCCCACAAGCAACAAAAAGGCTGTTTTCACATATGTACTGCAGCCCTAAACCATATCAATCATTAGATATTGTCTTTAACATGCGAGTTCTCTAGTAAAAAATGCATGATGTTTAATTGTGCAAAATCAAGAATAGAGAAGCGAATATTCTGCTGAGTTCACAGGTAATGAGTGGTCATCCTGTTTCCTGCCTCCTGCACGCTGTAGTCAGGCAGTGCCCTCCTCACGACCACAGGGAGTTTTTCTGATAGTCTAAATGCAGCTGACTGGAATGTCCTGCTGTCTGTTTTATGTAAGTTAAAACAACACTTGTCCTGGTCTAATTCTGATGATTTGTTTTTAGAAGTTGTGTTTGAAAACAGCTGACAAAAAAATAACAGACAGTATGTTTCAGCTGGTAATTTCACCATATTTTCTTTTGGTATTTTAAAAGCATTCCCACTATTTTTTTAGAAAGAAAAGAGAAGTTTTCGTTATTGTTTCGAGAGGCAAGTTTAAAAAAAAAGTCATATATTATAGTACAGGTATTACCTTTTTTTTAACATACTTTATTTTTTCAACCATTCATCCAGTAGTATACATTAAAAAGAACGAGTGTATCAAGCTTTTTATATGCTTCATTTGTTTCTTTCTTTTATCAATCTTTTACTTGGATTTCCATATTTTCAGTCTGAAAGGCCATTTGTCATTTGTTGTTACTGTGTTTGGTTTTGTTAAAAAATATTTTTAGGAACAAAAAGTGCATGTTTTGAATAAAGAGTTTGTATTTGTCTCATAATCTTTGTCTTGTTTTCAATGGTTTGATTGTCAGTCTAGAATGAAAACTATATTATTAATTTAATGCTGAATATTTGAGCATGTGGGTAATTTACACTGGTAGTCAGCTTAAGCTTGCATTGCCCTCTGCTGGGCACAAAGAGGGAATAATATAATAGTTCTATGTCTCTTTCAGTGGGATCCCTGTAGATAAAACTTACCAAAATTTTTCTGTGTCTATATTTGAAATCTGTCATATATTGGAAGTTTTTTGAAAGAAAAACTCATCACTGAGAAATCTAATATATTTTGTGGTGAAATATTTAGTTTATGGCTCCTTAAAACTAACATGGCAAGTAGAATTTAACATAGTCAAAAATGAATCTTGGGGATTCTCTCTGGAAATGTGTTTAACCAGTGATTGTAGTTTTCTGTAGTCATTGTGTTTGACCCGCTGATATGCTGATAATCAGTTGCAATAAGTGTCAGATCAAGCATCAACTAAACAGCTAAGTTGCTTTTCATTAATTGTTATTGTCTGTTTTCTTGAATTTCATAAGTTATTTGTCTTATTTTCTTTTTCAAGGGCCAAAATTGATAACCAGGGTGCTTTTGTGTTGGGTTCAGGAGACTGTACCAGTGACTGTAAGAACCTTACCATTAACTCATAATATATTTCATATATATTAAAAGGTATATTTGAAAATGAAAGCCAGGGCTCACGTTTCAGTCAACAGGTTATGTGGAGGGCAGCGTCAGGAGCAAACAGTCTTTTCTTTTTTGACGTCAGTGCTAAATTAAAATGGGAAGGCGTTTCAACTTTTGATTTCACACTGATTGAAAAGCACCTGAAGGCAGCGTCAGACCGGATGTTACGCCGTCTTCATGTCCGCACGTCCTCCAGTGTTTTTGAAAAAGCGGCGGTTACAGCTTCGCCGGCTTGTTGACGAAGCGATAGCAGTTTTTTTTTCCGCTTCTCTCCAGCACAGGAACAAAACACAAGTAAGCCGTATTTCTTTTCTCTTTTTTGTCACAAAGAAGGAGAACATGGGTTAAATTAGCCGACATTGAATGGTTTCTGGCTGTTGTTAGAGAGAGCTAACCTCGCTCAAGTCGGCTAAAGCTAACTAGCAGAGTGGCTAGGCTGAAACTTGAACTGCGCAGTTGCGTTTTGGTGGTAATCTTACGTGACCGAAATTTAAACTGCTGCACTTCAAAAAAATATATCGTAAACATAGTTGCTAGAAAGCTAATTTATACTCTTGCCGGTTTTGTAACTTAAAAGCTTATTTGGATCTTGACAGATGTTCCTTTAATTTTTGTAGGCTCCTGGTGCTTGTGACAGCCTTTACTGCACCAGGATCATGCAACAGCAGCAGTATTCAAAAGAACGTGGATATGGGCTCCTGGGGAAGCTGTGTCTTGGGCCAAAAAAGCTGGAGGGAAAGACCTTCTACCTGGACAATGTGAAGAAACAGCCAACAGTCCTGCTTTTGGAATCCATCTCTCTTTTTGGAGGGGTAAGCATATGTTAAGATAGCCTGCCAGTGGAACCTTTTTTTACAGGCGCTTAAAAGGCTGTTGTTTAAAGGCTGTCGCATTGTATTTAAAATATATCTTCAAAGGTGTCTGTAAGAAGACAGACACTTTTTGATATAGATGACAAAAGCATCAATCTTGAGTCTTTTAAACCTTTGAATAATGGATTTAGTCTTGAATTCTGCACGCATACAACCCTAATAACGAATATATTGATCGTCCTCACTGATCTGATCTTTTCTTTTGTATGTCATTGCCTGTACTCGTGTCTGTTTTCTTTAGAAAACAAAGTATTATTACTGTTGATAAACACTTGATAAGTCCAAATGGTCAGTGAACACTTACAGTACATCCACTGGACTGAGGTTAGATTTTGCATTCATCAGAAACTCACATGGATATTGTTTTAATATATATATTTTTTCTTTTGAAGAGGGTCGAGAGTTTTCTACACAAGGATGTAAACTTTGTTGTGACTGGAAACAAAGAAGGCCTGGACAAGAAGAGTATTGTTTCCAAGGGTGGGGCAAGTCAATCAGCCCAACAACTAATTAAGCAGCGGGACAACGGCCTCATCAAGCAGCGACCTGGAACTCCCAGGCCAATGGTACTTTATCTCCTTTTATCACTTTCAGTCAGGCTTTTGGTTAGCTATCAAATACCACAAATCTATTTTGGCAGATGATTTACTGCCCTGAAACCTGGAAAGCTACTCTGAAAACATTCTAACACAATATCACTAAAAAGATCAAACTCATTAGGCATTCGTGTAAGTTAAAATGAACTACACTGTATAACTGCACTGCATTTGTGTCTATAGGCTTGCAGCAGTCGAGGGAAAGCGCTGCTCGAAAAAGCCATTCGCAACAATGTAAGTCAATGAAGACAAAATTCTCTTTATAAGTACTGATGATGTATTTTGATATTTTAATTCTTCATGGTCTCTTTTTTTGATGAATCTGCCTTGTAGGAACGACTGCAGGGAAGCAGTGTTTTGTCCAGTGCTCGATCATGGGGAGTCAAGATTTTGCATGTGGATGGTATCCTTTTGACTAAATTTAATGGAATTTCACAACACACCATGATTAACATGCAGTGAGCCTATGCTCACAGCAGATGGCATTGTGTGATTGCTCATGTTTTCGTGTATGCTGCTATTTTAATGCGGCTTTTAATTGGAGTTGTCTGCTGTGTACCAGTTTGTGGCTGTTTATCTTGTCCAAGGAACAATCAGAAACTTGGCAAAGCGCTACATCAAATCCAGACTGTTCCTAAAGTGGCTGGACTTGAACTATTGTGTTATTTTCAGTACTCAAAAGTATCTTTTTAGGAGAGATGTCTACAGTGTCCTTTGTACTTTGTTTTAAACTCAGTGCCCAGATTAAATAAACATTATTTGTGTTTTGCACATTGAAAGTTGTTCCTTAATGTGTT